GCGTGCCAGGAATCAGGACAGTTCCTAAAGGGGAATACTCTCAACATTTAAGAACAATCCTTGTACCTATAAATGGCCTTCAGCTTACCATGTACTTATTAGTGGGACAGGACTGTGCTAAAAGCAGGATTTGGTAGTATGTCTGTAATTACACTGTTCTTTTGTTTTCCTGGATTAAAATCTATGTGAGGATCAATGCAAGTTAGAAATATATTAGGCTTAATTTGGAACAGCAAAAGAACCCAACAGAAGGATCTTCTCTGGGCCAAAAGCATTTCCCCTGGACATGCTATTTCTCTGGAGTTATCTTCTGCACTAATAAATACAGATGTACCCATCCTCACAGGGTACGCTGCTAGTCTGAGAGGCACTGAGACATTCCGGGCTGTAAATACTGGGAAGACAAGTATTTAACACAGCCCACAGGTGAACAGGTGAAACACTTGGGTAAGTATGCACTAATTTCATTGCAAGTTAGTAAGAGAGTGCATTAGTGCTGGGAAGAGGTACACAGACTCCCAGAATTTTCTGAACACCCACAGCATGGTCAAAAAATCCTAAAAGTACCACGAAGGCAAAACTTGGCATGAAAGTTGTTCCTGACCTGCATGTCAGTGATGTTCATCTCCATTAGCATGTTTGTAGTTTTGAGTTATGTTAAATAGCAATGATTGATTTCTGTGACATTGTTTGTATCTGTAAATCACTTCTATGGTTTTACTAACCTGTTCGCATGCAAGCCACGTTCACCAGCCACCACTCTGGGACCCTGGGCAGAATCAGGATAACTCTGTCTCCCTGGTGCAGGCCACAGGCATCAGACAGAACATTAGCCACTTTCCTGGACAGGACTCCGAGCTCTTCAAAGCTCCACTTCACTTCTTCTCCATCACCATTTACCCACCACAATGCAGGGTTTTTAGGTCTTTTTCCCTCCTATAGTACAATGAGGTAGAGTGCAAATATTTCATTTAAAAAATGTTACCTTTAACTTAGACCTGAGAGAAACACATTCAATTTTAGAAATATAAATTTGTATTTCCTTCCTGAGCTCACTGCATTAGACCCTGAAGAGGCTGTACGGTAATGAGCTCTGAGAAAGAAAAATCCTTCTGGTTCAGATGAGCCAGTGAAGTAGCTGATGAATGTAGGTCCTTCTGAGTTGTGACTCAGACAATTTCCCCATCTCATTTCCAGCTTCATTGGGTACTTGGTCTAACTGGTGCTTCTAAAACTAAAAGAAAGATTTAAGACCATAGGCCCACACAATGTGACCTTGATCAATGTCTCACCTAAATGATGTGTGCATTAAAATGCTCATGTGCAATGTATTGTAAAAGGCGACAAATGAACTTACCTTTTGTCAGAGGGGTTTTAGCTCTGATTTCTTCCTGATGGCAATTTGGACATAAATCGGTTTACCCCCTCATCATGAGCAATCTGCAAAATCAGTCATACATCTATAGGGACTAGACTTACATGGTAACAAGGGTAAAAGACTTCATGGTTTTTCTATATTCTCTTTCTTTGCACACACCTGACATCTATTTTGGGGGTCACAGTCTTCCAGATTTGTATGTTCAAAGTCCCTGATGCAAAGACTTCACTTTTGGGTTAGAAGGGTGAGGTCTGACATTGCACCATATTATTAACTTTCCAGGTACATGGAGAGACACAGGGAGGTCAAGTGATTGCCCAACATCTGCAGCAGTGTGCAGTTCAAAGCTGATGGGTGAACTGGTGTCAGATTTAGAGTGGCCTGGTCTATGGATTCACTCAGTAAACACATATTTATTTACAGTCTCATGTCATGTAGCATATGATAACACCAAGCTCAATGGACATAAGAAGATCGCCAAATCATAAGCGGAATATAACAACTCTGGTGTCGTGCTTATTGAAACGCTCCTGATAGTCATGCTCCAGCATGAAGTATGTTAGCACTACAGAAGACAAATACTTGTTACCTTTTCCATTTCAGTCCATCTGTCTAGCACATCGCTGGCAAAGTTGAAATACTCTGGCACCTCTGGTCTATACTGCTGTTGTATGGCTTCATAATTCTTAGAGCTCTGAGAGGTGCAAACTGGATAGCCCTGGCTAGAAAGATGGAGAGATCTTCTCACAGGAGCCCTCAGGGATAGAGCACTCRGAGACCTCAGTAGAAAATGCAGAGCAGCAAGAACCATAATGATCTCTTCCAAGGTTATTCTTGTCACGGGTGAGTGATGCACTTCACTTTTAAGAGAGAAGCAGCAATATAGTTTACTGAGGTAAGACAATGATTTAACAGAGTTCAATCATAAATAAAATGATGATTTAACAAGGGTCAAAGGCAAGGTTCACTCAGTTATTTACTGCACGGAAGACAAGGACAGATGAAAGGCAAGGAGATCCTCTCGTTGTTCAGAACGGATCCAATCTTAGTCCCAGACTTGGACAATACTTTATGTCTAAAGATCCAAGTCAGCCAGCAGTGCTGGGGTTCTGTCAGTGGTAGCTTCCCTGTGACTCACATTCCTTCCCTCCTCGCACACCCTGCTAATCCAGGAGATCACATTTCAGTTCACAGCCATAGGGGAGAGGCACTGAGCACTACCCAAGCACTGTAAATTAAACAAACACCGCAGAAATCCACACCGCAGAAATGCCAGCATGGACCAGGAAACTCCAAGATTAATCCTGCAGTCCTTAGTTACTGGCTGACCACTGTCTTACATGGCACAATGATATGTCTGTTTTTTCTAGTTTGTCAAAACTGGGGATAGACTGGCTGCCAGAAATTATATGAAGATAGCAAAACCCTAAAAACTTTTAAGTATTGATGTTTTGATCAGCATTTTCATGTGTGGTCAGCAAAAAACATAATTTTATGAGATGGGGAATCTTAGAAGAACTCCCCGAAAAAGAATCCAGGATGGATTTCATCTTTAAAGAAGTCCTGAAAACCCCAGAGTTACTATTTTCACGCATTGTCACCTGCTATTTCCAAAGCAATATAAACACCGCTAGATCCTTACAGAATTAATAATTATCCAGCTGCAAAACCACATGATTTTAGTGATTTAGTGAAAGAAAGGGATATTTTCTGGAGTTTTAACATACTGTCTGTGCATGATGAACATAGCTGAGCCAATCAAATGAAAGACTGAGAGGGATAGAGAGAAATGAAAACACAGACAGACAAGGGGCAAATCAGCTCCTGTGCCAGAAAACACACTGTGCAMCAGCGAGAGGGGCATGGAGGGCCAGTTACCTTCTCAAAGGATCGTCAGTCCCGACTTACTGCCTTGTGTGGGAACGGAGCCCTCTCAGATCCGCCACAGCTTGGACTCCAGACACAGATTTCYGACTCGGGCTGTGCACCCCACCGCTTTGAGCCGCCTCCCGTGCTGCTCTGCGCCCAGCGGCGCGTTCCTGGCTTCACTCCAAGTACTTTGGACTCGCACGAGGGGCAGCAACACCCTCTCCGGGGAGAAGAGCGGATGTGCTGCTGGCCAGCCCAGAGGTGCAGAAGAAGGTGCGAGTCCCAAATATCTCCCGTCTCCTTCTCCTAGTTTGTCAGTGCCCAAAATCGCTCCTGCTGGATGATCTCCACCCTCAAACGATGGCTCTAGGGCCAGCAGAGACACCGTGGATGGTCCTCCAGGTGCTGCTCAGTGAAGATGATGCTGCCATCTTGGCCGGCACTCGGGTCTCCTGCCTTTGCCAGCTGAGCTGCAGGAGCAGCATTTTAAACAGCGTTTTGAAGTGCATGCAACAAAATCTTCCCAGAGGAAAAGCAGAGGGATTATCCTCAAAAGATGCAGAAGATTACATCGTCCAAAGGTAGGCAGGGACATAAACAAAAAATGACAGCAACTGGATGGAGACAGGAAAGTCAGGAATGTTACAGGGGTAGGGAAGAATTTTTCCAGTTTAGGAAGAAAGCCAACATTTCCACAGTGACCACTTTCCTGTGATTGTTTCTGTGTATCACCCTTTTTGGGCAGGGGCACAGAACTGCCTGCCAGAGCACTTGCAGTCACCCCGAAGCCCCTGGGCACTTTTTGTCACAGGGTTTTCCTAGTTGAATTTGTTGCATCTCCGTAGCACCAGCACCAACAAAGTGGCCTGAAGAGACGTGTCCTTGTGGTTCACGGCATGTCTGGACACATCCGACTCCAAGGCCTGTGACTCCAGCTCACAGGAGCATGGGGGCTTCCGACCCCATCGAGATTCACGACAACTTTCAGTTTACACATGGCAAGTGGTCTCCTCCATGTGGAAAATCCACAGTGCAGCTGTGCTGATCTTGGCGGCTTTGTGGAAATGAAGCCTTAAGAAGACGCCAATACCACCAGCCTCTGCACAGCTTCTGCTGTGAATTTGTGAAACTTTTTTCCTCCTGTGCCCAAAGTGTGGGCCAGAATAGCCTGACAATCCTGAGTGAASTTTCCTTCACCGCTTAACACAAAAATTGTAGCATTGCGATATTTTTAKAAGTTAATTCCTTAAGTTACCCTAGTGGGCATGTGCGGCAGGGCCATACCCTGCTTTGGCAGTGAGGCCAAGGGCCGTGTTTTCTTTTTCTTTTTCTTTTTTCTTTTTTTTTAATTTCCTTTCCCGGTTTCAACACACACTCTTTGCCATTCTCGGCCCCAAAGGCCCCGGCCGGGGCCGGAYGCGGCTTCCAGCGGCGCTTCCCTCCGGAGAGGCGAGGGGAAGACGGGGCAGCCGAGCCCCGCGCTGCTGCGCGCGCCCTGACGGCGCCGACCCCCCCGCTCCGCTCCCGCACTCACTAACGGCGCCGCCGGGCCCTGACCCTGCCCCGCGCCGCCCCGCAGAGGGAGGCACCGCCCGGGCCCGCCCGTCGCGGCGCTGACGCCATCGCGGCGCGCGGCGGGGCTGG